TCACATTACAAAAACCAGCCCTTCCATGCATCAGGTCAAATTGAAAAGGGGGGTCAAGGCTAGTAAGATAAGCAGGACTCTGGAAAACGAAAGTGGTATGCCTACACTGGCATAATACCCACTTCCTTCCACAATGTCCCCCAGTATCTTCTGCTCTGTAAACTCTGGTGACTTTCTAGACAAATTAGCACTACTGAAAACAGAAATTTACATGACACAAATAGAGCCACGTGTGAGCTCAGAGGTAGGTGTATGTACAATAATTTGATGAAAGCGCTTCAGCAAAAAAAATCAAAACAGCACAGGTATAAACATGAATTTATAAACTTTGCCTTCTGTTAGCAGAAAGTTGCGAACACAAATGGTAGCTACCTCCCGAATGACACCGAACCGGCAAATTAATTTTTTATCTGTTATGTTGGTAGCTATATAGTAGCGCGGAGAAACTTCCTGCAAACAGTTGGAGTCAGAGTCACACACTGTGCTGACCTGCCAGTGGTACAAGCTAGGTGAGTGTATTCACATACACCTCTTGCACTCCCAGTGGACCTCGGATTCTCCAAACAACTTGCTGGGAATGTCCATGCAGTGGTGGTGATACCAGATGTGGCAGGAATCACACTTGGCCATCTCACCGTGACAAAGACATACTCACCAAACAACTGAGATCCCAAATGTAGACAATAGGTACATAGCCTGCAACACTTCAGAAAGCCTAGAAAATAGAGAAGAGGAGATACGAAGAATAACACAGAAACATGGTATTACATTTGGCCCTATAAGTGAATATAGAATGTTGGTGATAGTTGGAGAGCACAGAGAGTTGGACACAGACGATAATTTGAATGCAGACTGACCTATTTCTATGGAGGCAATTTTTTCACGGGGCACCACATTTGGAAGTATTGCTCACTGAAATGGTTATGAGCGTGCTCAAAGACCCTGCAGCTCTGCTATAACTGCAGTAGTGAACACAGTGCAAGGAGTATATAAGCCGCTTCATTGCGTGGATCTGTCACTGACACTCGTATATATACCACTGGCATTTGTGAAGGGGTGAAATGAAAGTACCGTAGAGGTGAGTAGCAATGTCTACTGCCCCTACACATCTGACGATGTTCGGGGCATGCAACTGTTTGTTACACAGGCATCACCTTGTAATGTGTGTCTCCACAGACTGTTACGAATGCGGCTTCCTCCAGACACTGGACAAATCAGCATGATAGGAAGGTTGCAAGGTAATTAAGCATAACACACATCACACACGTTTTTGTTTTGCCTTCTACTCACAGGGAGTTGCAAACAAAAAAACTGAGTGCAACTTCCTCCCAAGTGACACCACGAGGAGGTTCAAGGCCCATCATGGGACAGTCTCAATTCATACATACACAGAGATGACTGCCCCACAATGTCGTCACTCACAAGTGGATTCACACCGCACAAATATTTTGCCTATATAGAAAGTTATCCATGCCAGGGTTTACTGTATGAGTTTGTATGGTTCTGTCCAGGCAGTGTGAATCCACTGTGGGAGTGGATGCCCACTTACGGGTACGTGACAGTTCTGCACATAAAAATGTGCACAAGGGCTTTAGTAAAATACACACTGACAGAGGGCATATTTTCACTGTTAATGCAGTGTCAAGTTCCATACACACAGCTGCCCTCCTTTGGGATCCTGTTAGATACTGTAAACACCCGAGTGCCGAGTGTGGAGATCTCATAGTAACAACTGACCATGACGGCACTCTTGATAGTAGAACACCACTACTAAGTTTGGAACAAATGATGTTGTTCCCCCCCACCAGTCTAGAAAAAGCTTCTCTTGTAATGGATGAACCTGCATTATAGAATATGTATACAATTCCACAGTGAATAGAAATTCATAAACGCAATACTCCAAATACATGTAGAGTGGGCATTGACTACATGAAGTTTACAACAACAATACAACAATATCTAACAACAAGAGAGAGGGGAAAATCTGTCCCTACCGGCTCAACGTGCATTTGTTTTTTGCATCTGTGTGCAATGCATGAAGGTAAGTACAGTATATACACAATTGCCTGCACCCACACCTCAAAATGACCACTAGAGCTGAGGGAATATCTGTGGCTATTGGGTGAGTGTGTGTGCATGATGGAAGTGCAGTGTGCAGTGTGCATGATGGAAGTGAGAGTCAAAAAATAACCGTAATGTTGTGCTACTGGCTTGGTGAGCACTTATTAGAAGTACAGCCAACTAAGGTAATGAGATTTTAGTGGTAGATCAGAGATTAAGACCAGGTCAACTGCATGCCTGACAGCACACCCTAACACCTCTCAGAGATTGCACAACTGGGTCAACCCTGCACACCTTGAAGGCTCACCCAAACAGTTCTCAGAGAGGGTGACAAAGCCAATACTCATGGTGGTGGCGTCACTCCTGCAGTTGAAAGGGAAGGGTAAGTTATAGGCTACAGGTAAAATGAAAAGCACTGAAGTGCAAACCCTCGGCGCACTGTGACGCGCACGCGTAAGTAAACGCATGCGCCGTACCACTAATTGATGGGCTGGGTTTAGTTTTAGCTGTCACTCGTGGTCTCTTCCCAACTACACTGCTAGATAGCATGCGAGAGGCGATTCATGCCCTGTGTTGCATCTTCCGGTGCCCCCGAAGTACGTAGAGCACGCGGATCGATCCGACTGTGGTAAGCCATCCCGTCCGTTGTGTATTTGCATATTGGCTTTTTCGCGCTCTAGCTTTGCAACCGAGCAGTTTCAGAGAAAACCGCACAAACTGTCTGACCTTCATTGCCCGTTAAGTAGGTCGTATCCTTTGTGAGACGAACGAACACTCGAGAAGTGAGATGTAGAGTAACATACAGACACAGACACACAGACAAACCCAACTACAGTAACCCTCGCTGCGCATGCATTATCCGCCAGCGATAAAATGGCGACTACCGCCATTAGCCATACAATGCTGGAATCGCTCTAGCTCTGCAACGGAGCATTTTCAGAGAAAACCCCACATATTTTCTGACCTTCGTCGCCCGTTGGGTAGATGGTATCATTTCTGGGACGAACAGACATTCGAGAGGTGAGATGTAGAGTAACAGACACACACACAGACAGACAAACCCAATGAAAAGCACTAAAGTGCAAACCCTCGGCGAACTGCAAATGCGCGGTACCGCTAATTGATGGGCTGGGTTATTAGTGTGCGTTTACTCGCGGTCTCCCGCTAGTAGCTCGCAGAGAGTCTGACACGGGCTAGCTACAGAAATAGATAGCATGCGAGAGTCGATACACGCCATTCGTTGTGACTTCTTGTGCCTTCAAGATACACAGAGCAAGCGGACCCGGTCGAGGTAAGTCTATGCTGAATATAAGCGCATGCGCATTTTCCGGAGCGATAAAATGGCGTCTACCGGCATTAGCCGTACAATGCCGGATGCGCTCTAGCTTTGCAACGGAGCATTTTCAGAGAAAACCGTCCGAAATTTCTGACCTTCATTGCCCGTTAAGTAGGTCGTATCCTTTGTGAGACGAACAGACATTCGAGAAGTGAGATTGAGAGTAACAGACAGACACACACACACACACACAGACAAACCCAATGAAAAGCACTGAAGTGCAAACCCTCGGCGCACTGTGACGCGCACGCGTAAGTACACGCATGCGCCGTACCACTAATATTGATGGGCTGGGTTTAGTTTTAGCTGTCGTGGTCTCTTCCCAGCTCGCGCAGAGTCTGACGCGGGCTAACCACACTACTAGATAGCATGCGAGAGGCGATACACGCCCTGCGTTGCATCTTCTGGTGCCTCCGAGGTACGCAGAGCACGCGGATCGTTCAGACCCTGGTAAGCCGTCCCGTCCGTTGTGTATTTGCATATTGGCTTTTTCGCGCTCTAGCCTTGCAACGGAGCAGTTTCAGAGAAAACCGTTCGAAAATTCTGACCTTCATTGCCCGTTAAGTAGGTCGTATCCTTTGTGAGACGAACAAACACCCGAGAAGTTAGATTGAGAGTAACAGACAGACACACACACACACACACAGACAGACCCAAGTACTGTAACCCTCGCTGCGCATGCGCGCCGAGGGTTAACTACGGTAACCCTCGCTGCGCATGCGCGCCGAAGGTTAACAAGCGGACCAGGTCGATACGGGTATGACCTAATTGTCCTTACGTCATTCATAGGAAGCTGGAGTCGCATGCGCATGTGGGGTTGAACTGAGCGCTGAGCATTCGGAAGCCGCGAGAGACGTGCGGTTGAACTGAGCGCTGAGAGAGGAGTCGATTGAGCCGCTTTTTGCCGAGATTTTCGCGTATCATATTGACGGTATCAAGCGCGCATATGGAAAGTAATAGGCGAATGCATGGCATTTTTGGCGAGCGGGAGCGAGCACACAATCTGCACGAGCCATCCTACAACTTGAACCTTACAATCACGAAAATTGGAAGGAGGTATAGACAGCCTCGGTCAGGTATCAGTGAATTCCAGCGAATGGACGAGAGTTCTTTCGCTGGCTAGATATCGCTGACTAGCTACACACACGCGTATTCACTGCCTGCACGACCTGCACGACCTGCACGACATTATGACAGGGCAGGCCGCATGTGACAATTTTGAAATCCTTTCGGATAAAACGAAGCGCGTAATCCTGGAGCATGCGCAGTTGGACGACGTACGGTCGTCGTATATAGCTAGATAAAATTCCGCGCCGTTCGTACCACTAGGCTCGCTGCCGCTATATATACTGAAAAATCCGCTCGAACGAACGACTAGGTTGGCTCGCTCCCGCTCGCCAATTATCACAAGCGCTCACTTTTCGCCAGACGCTGACCGGGTCTACCACGAAACTATATACCATAATGGCTTATTGTAAGGTTTTATTTGGTTCGATTGTTGCAGTAGCGTTTCTTGGGCTGTCTCTGTCGTCTGAGGAGAAAATGAACGAAGGTATGCAATATGTCTAACGAGCTATCTTGTGGATTGCAATTTCCCCCATGCCATCCATAGCAAAGAGCTGTACGAGAGGTTTTCCAACGAAGGAAAGGATTCGTGCAGTCATTAACGAACCACGTTCTTACAGCACTAACACACAGGCCATCATTCCTTCTATCAATTTCTCATGCAATGGTAGCATCAAAGCTTGGGTTGTTTGGTGCAGACTTTGGAGAAGGATCTGATTCTGATCCTGCAACTGAGCTTCAGATATGGAGGAAAGTCAATGGAAGTCAATTGTACCAGAAAGTAGGAAGTGCTGGAATCAGTGCCGAAAGGAATGAGTCAAAATTTTACTACCATCATCTCAATGCCCCCTTAAATTTTGAAGCAGGGGACATAATGGGATACTATCAGCGAAAAGCTACACATCGGTTTTTGTTTGAGGAAATTGGGTATGATTCAGGTCACCTGTTGTACTATCGCAACAGCCAGAGGAATGCAGCCAGGATTTTTGATATAAATTCAAGTGATGGCAATAATAGTTTGACCCATGCTCTTCTCAGTGTTATTACTGGTAAGACTAGCTATAGTTGTAGTGCTAGTTTGTAAAAAAAGTAGCAAGCAGTCTGTGGTTGGCAAAGAAACTTTAGCCCACAGCTTTTTGACCTTATGGTATTTTTCATGTTACAAACTAGCTCTGAAATTTGCCCAGTTGTCTGTAGCCACAGCTTAGCTTATGTTTAGCTCTATTTCTACAATTACGGTAGTGGTGCTGTATGATCCTCAGTTTTTTTAATAGACCAACAGGATTGTGGCTGTGGTTTCATGAGCATTGACAGAATTGCACTAATTCTAAGTGTACAGAAGATTTCCATTGGAGGTCGTCAGCAGATCACACCAAGTATGAAAATCACATGCCATGGAATGCTAACAAAGTGGATCATTGGAGCTGATTGGAACAGATCGAAGAAAATGTTTCCTCAACTACAGCTATGGAGTGAGACTGGAGAGAAAACATACAAGATGGTCAATCATACCCAAGTACAAACTAGAAAAAGAGCAATGCAAACATCTATGAATTTGAACTTTTCCCTCCCTATTACCGTCGAGCCTGGATATGTTGTAGGAATATTGATACCTCCAGAGTCTGATAGCAAGCTTTTGCTTAAAGCAGAAAGAAGTCTCCAGCCAGTAACTTATTATGTCTCTACAACACACACCAACTTTTCCTGCTCAAACTCTGAGAAAAACATAATATCAAGCGATGCATACAGTCCACTTGTCACTGTAGAGATAGGTAAGTGAAAGAAATAGACTTATTTTCTCTTAATCTTAGTTCCATACTTACTGCAGTGCCTAATGAAGCTAAAAAAGTGAGTTAAGAAAAAAACCATTGAAAATGGTATTATTGTTTTTACATACTAATAGATCTCTTACACAACAAATGTATCAGCAAGCATGTGTACTTGGCAGCTTACTATGAGCGACAAGGAAAGAAATACACATCATGGCCAGGGGTATACAGTTGGAGTGGGAGTAGGAGTTACTGCAATAATCATTGCCTTAGCCTTGCTGGCGTTGGGTGCATTCATTTACATAAAGAAGAAAAGAAAGGTGTTGGTACAGCCACCTGTGGTGGCCAATCCAACTGTACACCTCAGCAACTATGAGGTTGAAGGTAAGACTGGGAATTTTGAAAGTATCTCGACTAAACCAAACATTTTGCAGGAACTGGAAAGGATAGTCAACAACAAAGAAGTGGTAACAAAGCAAAGAGCCATGAGTATCAGTCACTTACACCTCCAACATACTGCAATATGGTTAGCAGCACTGCAGCTCCTTTAGCAATGCTGACGGTAGGAGGTGAAGGCCATTATGAAACGGTAAGTGTTGTTGTGTACAAACATAGCCTTAGACACTATAAATATTATTGCAGAGTTGGGATGCTCTTGAAACAGTTGTTGACTACTATGTCCCAACTACAGTGAGTTATTAGTATGAACAATCAGATGACATCTCTCTCTCTCTCTCTCTCTCTCTCTCTCTCTCAGATACAACGCAGAAACTATGAATTAGAAGAAGATGGTTCATGTCCTTACATTGTGGGCTACAACGTGTACCTGAAAGTATAACCAGCCACTGTGTTTGTCTTTCAGGTTGCTGTTGAGGAAGAGTTGTTTGTGGAGCAGGAAACCTTCTGGTCACCAGGCTTCACACTTGCCAGCATCTACAACCAGTTATCTAACCACAAGTTTAGAGAGATCAATAAACAACACATCGAGTATGGTTTTTGCAACAACATACATATTATTGACAACTCATTCTCCATGCCCCTCGTAGTCTTTATCCCCCTATGTCTCATCCAGTCTTTAACCCTCTATGTCTCCCAAACCCTCATGTCTGCCAGTCTTTAACCCTTTATTTCTCCCCACCGTGTAACCTTTTATGTCTCTCCCAGTCTTTAACCCTATAATTGCCGAGCGCGTTAGCGTGAGGCAACTACTCTATCTCCTCTATCTTTACCCCTCTAGGTCACATTAGCCTTTAACCCTCTATGTGTCTCTCAGTCTTTAACCACTTGACTCTTCTGTAGCTAGCTTCATACCTTTCACAGAATTGGTGGCTCACTGGGTTCAGGTGAGTTTGGAGTGGTGAGCAAAGGGAGGTGGATGGCTGTGGTTCGCGGACCAGTGGAAGTAGCCATGAAGACCCTCAGACCAGCAGCCAATGAGGACACTCAAGTCAAGTTCCTACAGGAGGCAGCCGTCATTGGCCAGTTCAAACACCCAAACATTGTCAAGCTACATGGAGTAGTCACTGTTGAAGAGCCGGTTTGACATATATAATTATTCACATGTTAAGACATTAATTTTTGAAACTCTACAGATGATGATTGTTATGGAGTTTATGGCAAACGGAGATTTGAAAAACTACCTCATTTCATTGATAACTGAGTAATTTTTGTGCATCCTTAGTAATAATAATATCCAACTATTCCTCAGTCCTGATCCCCCAGAGCAAGATCAACTTTCCCAGTTGTGTCTCACGTTCTGCCGACAGATTGCCTCTGGTATGAGCTACCTTGCAGACAAGGCCTTTGTCCACAGAGATCTTGCAGCTCGTAACATCCTCGTTTCGAAGGACAAAGTGTGCAAGGTATCAGTCATGAATACACTGCTGTATCTTCTTAAGAGTAAACTGTAGGTAGCAGACTTTGGGATGTCTCGTGCATTAAATTATTCCGACTACTATGTCTCTCATGGAGGAATGATCCCAGTTAAATGGACTGCCCCTGAGGTATTTATCCCAATGCGCCATTGACAAAATAGCTATATAATTATACTGAAACATTTGCAGGCCATTCACTACAAGAAGTACACAACAGCCAGCGATGTGTGGAGTTTTGGGTGTGTAATGTATGAGATATGGAGTGTTGGGCACAAGCCATTTGAAGGTTTCACCAATGCTGAGGTTATGTAATTATAACAAGATATTTATACCTAATATCTATAAATTGCAATGCAGGCAATGGAGATGGTGACAAGGGGCTACCGACTTCAACCGCCTCCTGGTTGTCCTCGACGCATTTATTCAATGATGATAAGCTGCTGGTAATAGTAGAAAATTCCTGCTTACTTTTGCATTCAGACCTCAGTGTTGCTGTAAACTTTTCTATGGAGTTATCCAATTAAGCTCTTCCTTCCTGGGAGACTCGGAGACTCAGAGACTTGGGTTCTATATGTTTCTTTCTGTGTCGCAGGCATCCAGAGAGGCTTGATCGTCCATCATTTCCCTCTGTTTGCCAGACTCTGGCAGAGGAGGCCAACTCACTGCTGAAGTGGAGAGAGGAGGACAGCCTGTGCCATCCTCACGCCAGTCTCCTCGGAGCTCCTCTAGAGACTGGGGCTTCCCTCTACCCTGACCTCCAGAACGTTTACCAGGGCAGACAATGAACTATAACATGAACCATTCAGAGGTTTTTTTTGCGTGATTCTCATATCCAAGCAGTAACCAGAAGGACTTCCATGTTTTGAAGTTACTCCATGGGAGTGAGTGTGCAAGGAACAATAAAGCCCCGTGTATCGTCTATTTACGCGACGGCGGGTAGCCGATCGGGACATGACGCTGTTGTATAAAACTGCTATGGTGGCACCATAGATAATAAAGGGTGGCACCCTAAACAGTGCGGGCTGACGTCGGTTGTAATGCAGAAAACATGGGCCGATTTCAACCCACTGCAACTATATAGCGGCGGCGCGGCACAACGACCGGGTTTGGCTAGTTACAATGTAACTAGGCCTCGCTCTGGGAGTCTCTGCAAGTATGGAATACCTCAAAATAATGCAAGACGTTGTCCGCTCCTGCGTACTGCAGACTCAGGCTATCGAGAAAGGACCTCACAGGATAAGGTCGTTGAGATCTTGCACAAGGCTGCCAATCTCGCAGAGGGGAAGAAAGTGAACGGGTTGGTGCAAAATGTCCTTGCTGAAGTCGTAGCTAGCTATGTAACTATAGTCAAAGTGAGAACATTGCCAAGTGGTGGTATCAAGAGGCCGAAATTTCAAGCAATGGAGTCCTCCATCACTTCATCATTACCCTCGGCGCGCATGCGCAGCGAGGGTACTGTAGTTGGGGGTGTGTGTGTCTGTCTGTCTGTGTGTCTGTTACTCTACATCTCACCTCTCGAACGTCTGTTCGTCCCAGAAACGATACCATCTACCCAACGGGTGACGAAGGTCAGAAAATAAAGGCGGTTTTCTCTGAAAATTCTCCGTTGCAAAGCTAGAGCGCTTCCGGCATTCTGCGGCTAATGCGTAGTCGGCCATTTTTATCGCTGGGGAAAATGCGCATGCGCTTATCTTTTCAACAGGCTTTAAATGAAGATGTAACCATAATAGAGTATAGCACAAAAGGGTGAAAACAATACCTGCTGATCCCGGAAAAGAGAGAGAAATGCTGAAATCAAATCCAACAGCACACCCAATGCCATTTGTGCTAACGACAGCACAAAAGCTCACAACATGACCCTCTGTTGCACTCGATGGACCAGTTACTAGTTCCACAGTAGCTCCTTCAGGTATATAATATGTATGAAATGCATAATAGTGTGTATTAATGTTATACAAATTCCATACCAGTGTCATCATCAGTAATCTCAATGGTTGAAGTCGGTTGTCTCAGCTGAACTCTACTGTCAAGTCCACCAGTCCTGCTCAGACTTACCGCAGTGAAAGACTCTACAGCAGCATCGTCCACAATGCCAATGGTGATGCACATTCGAGAGGAGTATGGTTCATATGTTAGGAGCTCAAAGATAGGAGAGAAGTCTGAAGGAGAACCTGTAACAAACGCTATCAAAAAGTTTAACAACTATTTTAAGCACTTCCCATCATCATCAATGATTTCAACAGTGCTGGGCTGGGGACTAAGTCTGACCCGGATATCAGTCCTGAACGGCTCCAGAGACACTATGAAATCGTCTACCAGTTACTCCATAATGCTATCGTCTAAGATTCTTATGTTTCCACACGCTTCCTCGACACATGACTCAAACTGTAGTACTATAGGTTGAGACTCATAGTCTGAATCTACAACTGCAGGAGAATCACTTACACTAAATGTTTTTGTAGTGCAAGTCATTTTTGTGTTATACCTGCTGTTCCAGTGGAAGTTACAATTCCAGCACCAAAGGTCGAATCGAAGGTATAGCCTACAAGACTGAGAACATAGGACTTATCTTCCTCAAGGAGATCATTGTTCACAAAGACAAACAGATTCTCTCTTCACAAGCGCCAACTCTATTGTCCCATCTGCATAATCAGAGACTTAGTCAATTCTAGCAGCAATTGAGCTGGTTTCATGGTTAGAAATACAACAGATCTCTCAGCCAGGGAACTATTGACTTACTTTCATTCCCTGGTGAGACTGTGAAAGCCCAGTGTGAAGTCTTTGGTCACAGGACAGCAGGTATGTAGATTAGAAAACAGTACACATACTTCAAAGCCTACTCCATCCTCATTTACGATGTAAGTTGATTTTTCAAGTCCCACTACCACAGCTGTGGGATCACAAAGATACAAAATCCCTCACACTTAAACGTTGATTATAACCTACTTTGGTTCTCCCGTATTTAAGTGGCTATATATAATGTTGGCTTTAAAATCTAGCGTTACTGATAGTACCATCTGTGTTCAGCTCCACAAAGAAGGTGTTTGAAAGGCTATCACACTTCATATAGGGGAGGTCTTCCTTCTGTCCGCTGAGAGTGGGCAGTTGTGCAGTGTTAGGGTCACAAGGGTCCCCATCATACAGTTCCACTGTGTCATGAAAGGACTCGGTTGCGAAGGAGGAGAAGGAGATCCTAACGTAAGTGTCGGGAGGACCAGTGATAAACCACTGGCACTTAATGTTCTCAAACTAACCGACAGGGTAGTTTGGAGACTCGATTGTTGTGACGGACTCCACTTCAATATATATTTCCCCACCACATGATCCTATTTATTATAGAAAAATCAGATTAAGTGTATAATAGAAACTACTGGCTAACCAGGAACGTAGAGAAGCCGGTTTGGAGTGGAGGAGTTAAAGTCGACGGGGATAATATCAAAGTTGAGAGTATCACTAGTGGAGAAAGAAATCAGCTGGTGGCGTATTTGGTCAGGGTCAGCTTGGGCTGTCTTTGTAGCATGATTGCAATAGCTCCACTAACTATTGGAGTAGCATAGGATGTCCCACTGTCAGCGATAGAGCAGTCCCTACAGCGATAGTAAGCTCCCTTAACAATATGACCAGGAGCGAAAATATCAACACAGGGACCATATTTTGTGTCGGGGTAGAGTTCATCACCGTCTGCACTGCCAGCAACTGTTATAGCGTCTGGAGTACTGGCAGGACTCTGAAGACAGGCATCTCTAGCATCGTTCCCTGCAGATACTACCACAGGGATTCCAATTTTGGTTAGGTTCTGGACAGCATCATTGACAGACTGAGTGTTAGAGCCACCTGAGGATATGGACACCACTGCAGGGCGGCCTCGAACAGGGATAGTCCTCATGACATAGTCCAGCCCTGCAAGGAGAACACTCCAAGCCCCAGAGCCACTGCAGCCTAGTGCACGGATACTGTATATAGTTGCTCCGCTTGTAGTACCATAATCCCTCCCTGCAGCAAGGCTAGCCACGTGTGTGCCATGACCGTAACAGTCCCGGCCTTCCATATTCTCTTCCCTATACTCATCCATTGGGTCGTAACCACCAAATTTGGCACGGTTTCCAAACTCTTTGTGCTCATAGAATATCCCAGTGTCCAGAATGTAGATATCAACTCCTTCTCCGTCACCGATTGGATGGAAGTTGTGGTCGAGTGGGAGTTCTCTCTGGTCAACTCGGTCTAGATGGTAGGGAAGGGAGGTTTCGGTTGCTACGGCTACTGTCTCCTCTTCAATATACTTAACTTCTGGACTCTTGAAGCTGGATTAAAACAAGTTATAAAACCATTCCTTTCGCACCCGAGATGTGTTTGCGTAAGTCCACAGTGGGGAATTCATTCTTTGTTAAAAACTTTCATGCACTTGTGTAGCTATGCTATATAGTTGTGTTGTTATAAATGGGAAGTCAGGGGATGACTGTTGAGCATACACCTGGCACTAGCAAACAAAGGCTATGATAACTAAACTTTATTTTCAACCTCAAAAGAGAGTCAAATAGCACACACTGGTACAAAAAGTCATAAACAAGGGGGTGCAAAACAATGGAAATGCTATTCAACAACACCTATATAGGACAATGCATTGAACCAAGAAAACTCTGCCCAGACTATGTGCTTTAGCACACTTAATATGTAGCGACCAATGTTGAAACATGTGGTGGTAAATTATCTTTAAAATGGAACAAGTGGAAATTAAAGAGGGTGTAGGGATGTTACCCTCCATTAAGAAGAAGGGGAACGTAAAGATGCGTACACCTAGACAGAAAGTCATAACCCCATCCGTACATTTTTGCTTATTCAAAGTGCATGTGAATTGAACAGCTCACGCCTGTTAAGATAAAAAGGAAGAGAAAGGAGGGCTGTAAGGATCTCGTACAATTACATGGGCTTACTAATGCGGGACTAACAATGCGGGAGCCGCGGTGCACGATGGTAGTGATGCATTATACATAACATGCGACTATTGTATCAAAAAGGAGGACATCGTCATTGAAACAAAACCCGTGGTATAAAAGGTGTCAAAAAGAGATTTAAAGAAATAATAATAATAAAACATTTCACATTCGTAGAATAAGTAGTAGAATAAGGGCAGCATCATTTGAAAGGTTAGCTAGCATGACCAAGGCATAATGGGTGCCCTGGCCTTGAGAACCATGGACGGTGGGTTAAAGAGATCTTTTACCACCAGTCAACTCTACCCTAAAGCACACCCAGGCCTATCTCATAGTAATGCTGCCCAAGGAAAAACACATACAAAACAATAAAAAGGCACCTAAATAGCGAAGGACCTGATACGCTGCATCGAAGCTTGAAGAATACGAATGGCAACAAGGAAAACGGAGTGTACAATATAACGGAGAGAACCCCCAGGAAGTAGAACGTATATAAAATCCAGGGCTACACAAGTTTCACAACAGTGGTCGTTGTATATTATAGTGACCCATTTGTACAAGGAAGGAGTGTACAAGGAAGGATGACAAACGTATAGCTAACCCACTGCACACATACCATTAGAAATGTGTCTCTTTAGACTAACATTGTATTAGTCCATCAAGTGGATATAAAACTTCTTGAAACTCTTAACAAGTTTATTGTATAAAAAGGCCTGTCAAATCAGTCTAGTTGTAATCAATTCCTTTCTTTAATTCCTCATAACTACTGCAAATACGTCCTATTCTTACCAATTGGGATATGTAAACTCCGTAGGAAGGCCCACAAGGCATATTACTGCTCATATTATACGGGAAATGAACAACATGGAAGTTGAAGCTATAGATTTTAGAGAATTTACCCTCTAAAACCTTCCCTTGCTTTGCCAAGATGTGGGATGGGTAATGTAAGCGTGTAAGCACTGGCACAAGATGTAGGGATGGAGTGGATTGCTTGCCCCCTGAGAGGGCGAGGCAACACTCCCAAACACTTCTGCCGATGGGTTGGACTTCCGTGATAACCTTGCAGTCTCTGAGATCACTGTTGAGGAAGAGGTGCAGTGGTTCTTGACAGTAGGATCATTGTCAAGGTATAGCTATAGTTCACCAGTCAGTTACTTTCCTAGCAAGAACTTTCGCTGATGGGTGGTGGACCTTCTTCAGGGGATGATGGGTTACATAGGAGCCGCCACCACTTTCATACACTACAGGTAGTGCTAAGCCGGCAAGGTTATAAGTGCACTGGCACGGGATGTATGGATGGGGTAAAACAAAGAGATCTCAAGCATAATGTCAACCAGGACGACTTTTCCAAGTAAAAAATAGCTGCTCTAAATTAATGGCTGAAAACACTCTAGGTGAGTGCTCTACAAGCTGAGGGCATCTCAGAAGGTAGGATTTCAAATCTACAAACAATACGACACAAGACAGGGGCAAACCTCAAACCACTGTGTGTTCACTCATCATGTAACAATAAAAAAGCACTAAAGTGCAAACACTCGGCGAACTGCGTATGCGCGGTACCGCTAATGGATGGGCTGGGCCGGGCCGTTATTGGCGTTTACTCGCGGTCTCCCGCTAGTAGCTTGCGGAGAGTCTGACACTGGCTAGCTGCAGTAGTAGATAGCATGCGGGAGTCGATACACACCCTTCGCTGTGGCTTCTTTTGCCTCCAAGGTACACAGAGCAAGCGGATCAGGCCGAGGTGAGCCAGCATACTGCGTCTAATACACGCATGCGCTTATTGATGGGTTGGGCCACACAACGCTGTCCGCGACCGTGTCAGTTTTGTCGCTCTCGTTTCAGCAAAATCGCCATTTTAGTTTTCTAGCCCATGTACCGCTAAAGCTGTTGGTGGTATCGCTCATAAGCCGCCTCGTAGCCTGTAGTGCGAGAATAGTCGTAGACTGACAGACAGAGACACAGAACGACGCGACTACAGTAACCCTCGCGGCGCATGCGCGCCGAGGGTCGCTCGAATTACACAGCAGTACGGCGGTAGCTCTTCCTTTACCGCACCAACAGCGTTAGCGAAGGAACGATACTCAAGATGCAGATTATGAAGTTAGTTAG